GAAGGCAGTATTTAAGATGAGATGAGAGTGTATTCACATCAGTCAGGCAGTGTTTGAGATTAGATGAGAGTGAACTCAAACTTTTTGAACTGATGAATTGAAAAATTGATTCTAAACTAACTAGTTATTGAACGTATGTATCGCATAGATCGTACTTTTGACGCCGCTAACTTACGAGCCGGCTTTGAGATGGAACGTGTGGTATTTCACTTGGTAGCTGATAAAATTAGTAAATAAGATTGACCTTGCTGCGGCCACACCTAGTCAATAAAAGGTATAATTTAAAACGCTAATTTATATATATAAATATGTAACTGGAATCCGCAAACAAAATGCGGAATCCACTTGTAGTTCGCGGAGTCTAATTACAATTTGCCAAATCTAATTACAATGTGCGGCTTTTGTTTACAGTTGCGGATTCCGCAATCAACAGCTCAATTTAACTATACAAGAATCATATTATGCAGTCTGCTCCGGATTCCACAAATACTCTTAAAGATTCCTCAAAACCACGTAATATTGAAGTGATTTGGAATGGTACAGTCTTTCAGGTATTTGTTTGTGGAACTCAAAACAATAAATTAGTTCAAAAAATAAATGTTGCTGATTTCTTGACCATCTGATTTTTACCTGTTGCGGAATAGGCTTACAATGCACAGATCGCTCAGTTTGGCCTCGTAATGAATGGAAAAAGCTCGGTGGTAGCTTGGACGCAAAAAACATCTAATCAAGACTTTTTATCAAACTGCCGAAAAAACTACTACTCCGAAAACACTTCTGACGAGCTTCAAATCAGTTTGGACACAGAGAAGAAGCTGCGCATCGCAAACATAAGCGAGAAAAAGGCGAAAAAATCTACATCTGCTCCACGACTGCTTGTAACATTAGTAACACTTGCCGCCAAAAACGCAGCAAAAATTAGAGCAAAAATGTTCCGGATTTGAGACTGCACCACGGTCACTTGGAAATAAACTAATGGCCCAGCTAATTCTGGATGTATCTGTTTTATTATACTCGATAGAGAAAAGCGTTTAAAAAATTTAATGGGATTTACGCAAAAATTTAGCAGTTTTCTGCTTAAAAAGGAAGTTGAAGAAAAAAGCTACAAGACGCTTTTTCAATGGAATTCATAATCTCAGATTTGGCTTACTGGTTTTCAAAAAAAAAAGAAAATGATTCGAAAAACGATCAAAAATCAAAAATTTGAATTTTTTTAAATCCATGAATTTTTCTGTAATGAAGCATGAAACTAGCTTCTTTTGCAGGAAAACTTTCCACAGTTGAATTTTTATGATTTAGCTAGTAGTTTTCGAAAATAGTGAAGAAAATTCTAAAAAAAAAACGAAAGAAAAAGTTTCAAAAAAAGAATTTCCCAAAAAAGGGTGAAAAAGATTACGCATGGTGGGTTGAATGAACTATCAACCTCAGAATCAACAGGTTAATTTTTGAAAACTAAGTTCCCAAGAAAACAGGAAAAGTTTCAAATATTGGCCTTTCATATTTTTATGACCATATTTTTTCTCACAACGCAGGGCATAGCCGCTTGCGCAGAGAAGATGCAATAACTTCACAAAATGATTTCTTGCTTTCAGTTTAGACCTTAACTTCCAATTTGTCAGGTTGTTTCTGAGAAACGTTTTAAAGTTTAACAAAAAAAGAGCTTGTCTGAGGCCAAAACTTTTTTTCTATCAGTTTTTTTCTAAGAACAAACCACTTGATAAGTGGAGATTCCCATAATTTTTTCTTCTGGTTGAAACCTTCATCTCATATTCGTGCATTCACTATATGAAAAAATGAAAGAAGTTCGAAAACACTAGGTCAAAAACCCCCTGCTGAAACTTTCGAAGGCCGTAGAACGTGGGGCAAAATGAAAAACGACTGCAAACTATGCAAGCACATAGAAGATCAGCCGGTTTGACTACTGATACCATTGGTTGAAAAATGGTTCTGTAGTTTGCGGAAAAAAAATTGAAACTTCAGTGGAAAATGCAAAAATTTTCCGAAGCGTCGCAAAAATTTTAACAAAAAATCAAAAATCGCATTTATTTTCATAATACCTATTTTTTCAAATATGACCTTAAACTAGCCAAAAGGAACAACAGATGGTATTGAATTGCCTATGTTTAAATAGGCTTAACTATAAACAGATTGAAAAATATCAAAAGAGCCACCAAATGAGCACTTTCATTTGCGAATTAGGTTAGACGTTCAATACTGTGAAAATTGTCTAAACATAGAGTGAATCTTTAAAATAGATTTAGAGACTTTGACAATATTCAAACGCGTGCTAGCTTCCGATTTTGTTCATTTTATTTTTTGTTCCGACTTCCATAAAGAAAGTAACGGAATCTTTGTGCTCGGGGTGGGTTTTTTCTCTAGACATATTTCGACTTTTTAACTAGTTATTTTGACGGGATTTATTTAATATCATTCGAAAGGTATTGTTGTCTTGAGCTTAGATAATTTGATAATTTACCTGTGATCATTTTCACAAAGTTATGGAGGTCTAAAGATTGCCGCTATGGCCAATTTGGGACAATTAACGCGCGATACACTTCGCGCTATTAACGCGTAAGCGGAGATTCAATCGGTCTCAGAAATTGTTGCAAATTGGTTGAAGGAAGATTACTTGCTAAAATTGATTTGTTACTAGGAGCGAAATCTATCATTTTGTACTTTATATGGCATGTGGGAGGATGAATTTCACAAAAAAATCTCAATTAATTTTTCTATGTTATTACTGCTCCATAGACCTTAAGAAGCAGTCGGAACATTCAGGGCCTCACCCTGATACAAGCAGTCTTGTTCAGTTTTATTCCCCATGCACCGTGTTAAAAAAATTATATATTTTGTTTGAGCAAAACGAATTACTTGGAATGATTTATTTTCAGCGTACATATTGAAAGGGCAGAAAACCCGGTGGGCTATTTAATCCAATTTGAATCATAACGATCAAAGTAGTCCTAAGTTAAATCCACCATATTTTGAGAGCAAATAGTTTCAGGTTGAATTTCTTAAGTTCTGAGGTTTTAACATCAATTTTTCTCAGATATTCTATAAACTTCCATCAATAGTTTGACGGTTTTTCATGACTTTTATCAACTGATCGGGCTTTTGAATTCTTACCTTCGAATATTGTTAGTTTGCGGGTTTTTTCTGAGACAAATACATTGAAAACTTTGGCAGTTGTATTTTGATTTATTTTGAATGAAACCGATAGTCCATGTTCCGAGTCCACAACGACACTCAAGTTGGCAGACTTTTCCGTGATTTGATTCGGCTCTAAAACAAATTACATTTTACTATAATCAACCAGAATTGTAAAAGATTAGTATTTTCATCTAGTAGTTGCTGCGACCATACTTTTAAAAACAACAAAAAAAATTTCTGTTGTTTGTCTGTCATGTTTCTGCAAATTGTGATTTAAGACGAAAAACTAGAGCTTAGGCATACTCAACAGTCATGAACTTTTTCGAGTTTTTGAAGTTTCTGATTCCTTAAACGGCGTTCAAAACTCCAAAAACTACTTTTGATTGAGTAAAATTACAATTAGGCACAAACAAACTATCGTAGACGGCTTAAATAACTCTGCTCTCTCGCTTTTTTTGATCGAAAGTAGACTAAAAACAAAATATTTTAAACGGGTTTTTCTCGACAGTGAGAAAAATGCTTCCATTTTTTTAAAATATCGTTCAAATTTCGATTGAAAAAACGTTAATATGATATATAACTCAAACCAATCTGATGATTTTGTCTTCTAATCCTCCTTTCTTAATAACTAACTGAACTTCAATTACGAGATCTTTAACCTTAAAAACTTTAATTTTATTTAAATTACAAGATCAGCAAGGCTTTTCCTTCGATCTTTAACTTTAAAAAATCTTTTTTTTGTTTGATTAATTGGATCATCATAGCCTCTCCTTAGATCTTTAATGTTAAAAAATTTAACTTATAATTTTTCGAAATTCAAATCATCAAAAGTTTTAATTAAGATCTATTAATTTTAAAACTTTCAAACTCACCCATTTCCCTATAAAAGTGTCTAACGACACATGGTGTCATGCCACTTTCCGATTCTTTCAAACGACCCAAGAGTAATTGAAAATTTTTTAATTCAAAAACTCGCCATTCAACTGAAGCCAACACTGAAGAACTTCGGTTAGTCATCCTTCATTTGGTTCTTACTGATCTTCAGACCCTGATTTGAAACAGACATTGAAACTAGTAAGCTGTTTAATAGTATCTAACAATCTACTCGTGTTCTATTTATACGTGAACTCTGTGGATTGATTTACTATTCGCCAATACTCGTTCTCATATCGATCCCATCAATCCCATATATCACAAGTAAGATTATGAATACTGTAAAGCAGAAAAAGCCACAAGTTTGAGAGCAGTATGTATCATTCAAAAGTATTGACTGACTCTCTCCACAACCGGTCTTGCTACAAAAACATATGACCTGAAGTTTTATGATATCATTCTTGAAACAGTTAGGGCCTAACAGTCCAAGAAAATAGAACAAATAACACCTGGATTTTGCATCAGTTTTTCATACTAATACTTAAGTCAATATCAATTATAGGAAACAAACAAACAATAATTATCCAAAATTGTCTCATTAGAGAATTCCTGTTCGATCTTGTAGTAACACAACATAAACAAAGAAATAAGTCGAAAAAAAACACTCGCAAAAAAATTTCAATAATAAAAAAAAATTCCAAAAAAAATGTTTTCGAGAAAACGTAACGCCATTTCAGAATCAGATACTACAAGCATACTTAAACCAAAACAATTCAAAAGCCCAGCAATAACAGACAAAACAATAAATTTCGCGAAAGATTTTTTTCTGACTCTCTATTCTATCATTTTTCATGCATCCAGATAGTGACACATCACAAAACAAAAAAATTTTGTCACAATCCAAAACAAATTTATTTTGCACAGTATCTATTCTACGCAAACATCAATTTCCAGATGTACAAATAAAAAGACAGATACTCGGCCACTACCTGCCATATCTGTGCAACATAACCTCACAATATAGAATATTCTTAATTTAAACTCTGCCAGTGAATCCAAATAAGGTTACTCCATTGAATAAAGTAAAGATGATATAAAGATAAACGAAGTTTTAACAGGATGCAAAAACAAATATACAGCATCAAAGTTCACATCAAGCAAACTCATTTTTCACAATTTTTTTTTTGCGAAAACTCAATTCATAGTTAAATATCCATCCTTAGATTCAAATGAAACATTTTATGTATCACTACCATAAACAACACGACATCGAAATGTAAGAAAATTACTCTTTTTATTCTCAAAAGTTCTAGATAGAATCTGAGAGAACTTCAACGAAACTGACATACACACTATGGTAATACTTGATCTCCAAAGAATTTTAGCTTGGTTCATAACTGAAAACTTTGAACATAAAATAGATTTCATAGAACAATCTTGGAAAAAATTTGCACAAACTGTGATGATGAAGCCATTCAGATTATATTTGGAACCCTGAATGGTATCAAGATAGTTCTATTGATATAACAAACGCAATTTCAAAATTAGCAATATAAACAGTTTCAATATATGAAGATTATTTTAAAATTATCTCATTAACAACAGAAACAATGCCATTGAATTATAACGAAATTAAGATTTTGAAAAATAGAACATAAAACACCATTTTAAATTCAAAATTCATTCATGCAAAATGCAATTAAAACGGAATATTATCACTAACCCATCAAGGTTTTCAAATCCCATCACACTTTACAAATGAAAAATTGTTGCAGCAATGCCAGGATTAACGCAACAAAGTATCACTCGAATACGCCCCACAGTTAGAGCACCACTTACAGAGAACATACACCTCCAGCAATCAAAGTTTCAATCAATAACTATACATGTTCCCTTTGGTAAGTTTTAATTTATGGATTACCAAACAAACAGACATTCACCAAAAAGGTACCTTTTTAGTAGAAAGCATCCTAAAAGAAATCATTTTTCAAACTATAAGTATGATTTTTACAACCCATAGACCATACTTGCTACCAACTACAGGCTAAAATTAAACGTTCACAAGCAAATTAGTTTTCTCAATAAAAAGAACATTCAAAAAGATCAGTCTGAAAATTCTTCCGTTTTTCAACAAAACAAACAATTTGGACAAAAAATCGAAACCATTTCTCAGAAGAAGAAGAAAATTTTCGAAACACTAACGAACGCCACGTGATTCTAACCAAATGAAGTATCATTAGTAAAACGAGGAGCAGCCTGATTTTTTGAACCATAAATGAACAAACAAAATATTGAAAGTAAAAAGTAATTAACCAGTGAAACGAGTTCCCAGTGAAACGAAAATATTTGTGAAACATAAATGGACACACAAAACATTGAATAACGAAAAAGTAATTAACCAGTGAAAAATTTTTGAACCAAAATCTACCAACACACAACCCAACAATTTCTCAAAACTATCGACCTGAAGCCATGAAAAATTAAAATTTACAACAACATGAAATCAGTAGACACCAGCTCACCAATTTTACTTAATAACTAAGCACAGCAGAATCACTACAATGAATCAATACTTCATGGGTGGATCGTCAGTTTCATCAAATAAACGCCTAATGGTTTTCACAGGATATGAATCTGAATTAGCTGTTGAAGATTATTGAAAAGCCCTAACAGCAAACCTAATTTTTAACAATAAAACCAGAACCTATAAACAAATAACCATACAAAACAATCAAGCAATTAGCTGTAAGATGAGAAACGTTGGTACGAAAAGCATACTCACTTAAAACACTTGATTACAAAATCACAAAAAGAACAAAACTCTAATGATAACGTTAACACCGCATTTACGAAAAGTAGCTATCAAGAAAGAGCATCATATCCTTCATGAATTCGCGAATTATGTTTTGATTTTAGGAAACTTATACGCAAACTAAACAATCAGAAATCACAATGAAATTAGAAAAGACAGAAAGTTTAAAATTACAATTTGTTTAACACATTCAAACAACTACTTCAAACTTTAACAATAAACAAAACTTTGAAAATGAACAAGCAAAAAATAGGAAAAAATGACACAAGTACTTTAGATATAAAATTTCTAAATGAATTCTTAAGGTTTGAACGCTTGAATTTCCCATTTGATTGTCATGAAAATCTACTTTCAATGTTCCTAGTAGTTCCGTAGGTCGGTTCCTTGAGAAGTTATAAGCACACGCATGTCTCTTGGTTTTTGTTGGTACCAGTTTGTTTTGGTCCAAAGCCTTGGCAAAGTAGTTTTTTTGTTCCACGATATCCTTGTTCAAAACGTTTATCTTTTCGTTCGCACATGACTGCTTCCTAAAATGCTTTAGATGGCATGTTACACACTAGTAATGTTGTGTTATCTGATATCATGGGTTTGATTAGGCTGTCGGTTGTTGAATCAAACCATTGATGATGTGATGCTATGTTGTATTTTTGTGTAGAACTGCCTGTGTCAAAGTCCTTCTGTGGTTCCGTGTTACCGCACTGTTTCAAAGGGCTCCAGCTGTGAGAAGTTGCTCGTTTCCAGTTCGTGGAGGGTTGACGTATCCAGTTCAAGGGTGGTTACTCGTATCCAGTTAGTCCTTGTCGTTGTCACCTCCTTTGGGGGAAGTAGACAGACAGCTCAACTCTACGTTAAACCTTACTAGAATGCTTACTACGCTTAAACTAATCACTCAAAGTGCCGGCGTAACTAATGCCCTGTTAGCCTCTTATGATATAAAGCTGGTAGGCTATTATTCCTATTGAATTTGTACAGTCTGATTGAGTACCAATCAGGTACGTTGAGTACCAATACTGAAAGTATGAGAACTGTTATACATAGTTGAGAACTGTTATACATCGTTTCTCATTTTTTATGAGGTTACCTAACGGGTTTTTTCTATACGTTTGATCAGTTTTTCTAACTATTTCAATCGAGTGTAAAAAGGTAAGTCAAGCAATTGAATATTACTTAATTAAAGAATCAATGGTTGCTATATTTCCTGGTGTTTTGACTTAGAGTTTACCACCACTATGAAACATCCGCACAAATGCGTTATCATCTGCAAATCACTGATGAACGTTTTTTTAATGAATTTTAGTAAATAGAGCGCAAGAGTTGGAATTAGTTGAAATTTATGCGACTCGCCTGTCACAGCTGAAGTATTGAGTGCTTTGTTCTCAATTGGAAGGCCTTGATCATTGAGGCCAGTGATTGCAACATTGTACGATGAGCCCGACTGCAGGCCCTGCAAAAAGGTCCCAGATGCAACCGAGATTGTTTTGTTCACGGACAAACCTTGCAACTGTTCTGCAGAAAAGAGAGCGTCTGTTAGATTCGATCTCATAATTTGGGCTTGTATGTTAATTTGAACAACCGAATCTTCCGATCGCCGATGTCGTTTGCGTTTTTTGAGGTCGTTTAGGGCATCCCATGACAGTTTAAATGAAGAAGTTGTCGGTCGGTAGGCAAACGCGTTGCTATCTTGATCGGCTGAAACACACAAAGTAAGCAAGTTGGGTGCAACACAGAAAATGCAATAGAATTGTGTAGATGCGTAAATTCCCCCAAAAAGCCCAGCACTTTTCGAAAATCAACAACCCAAAGGAGAATGCTTTTGTAGTTTTAAAACATCTCTTTTTCGGCCATCCGTCCTTCCCGCTGAAAAGTTTTCTAAATATGCCAATTTTTGGCTCTAAATCGCATTAACCCGGATAGTCTTTTAATGGTATTTTGAAATCTCAAGAGAGCTTTATTTTTTGCTATAGATCTATTAAACTGTTCAAAAAATGTTGACAGGTTTATCTTGTAGTAGTTAGTAAGAATCACTCGAAAAAACATCGGAGAATTTATTGCGACCCAAATTGATTTCACTAATTAAAAAGTTTTCTGATTGGGTTCCCTAAGAAGTCAAACAAGTATTCCAAACAATCTATTCAAAGAACTCGTCTAAAAAAATAGAGTGTTTTCATAAGCCACAAATAGGCCATACGTCAAAAATAAACGTCAAAACAATTTCTTCTCCCTTATTTCTGACAAAATTTATTATTTTTTGCTGTCAGTACGACCATGATAGATAGTAAGTAATGAGGCAGCATTTCAGAGTTTAAGTGAGTCATATTGTTCTTTTCTACGGCAATAGCAAAGCAATTAAAACTGTCGAGCAACGAAAACAGCAATAAATCTAAAACAATAATATTACTTGACTGCAAGCCCCTTTAGCTAGCCCAATCTACCAGCACGAAAACTCAGGTTGGTCAAGTTCAAGAAAAGTTTTGAACCCGAATAAGTTCGAAAAACCCTCTGTGAGGACAAATGAGCCCTTCTACTTCTTCTTAATGTATAAAACGCGGTGCTGAGGAAAGTTTGTAGGATTCATCTGAGTCAAATCACACAAAGTTGGAGCCCACTAGTTTTTTTTTACTTTGAGCAAGCGTCGATACAATGCAAATGAGAGTAATCGTTGTCAAATCGCTTTCTTAAATATGGCTATTGTTCAGGATGCCGCTCCGCTATGTACATATTGGCAGTAGCGGATTTAAGAGGGGGGGGGGGGTTTGGACGCATCATCTTTCCCCCCCCCCTCCCCCGCCCCCACCATCAGGGATTCGACCCCCTGCCGACTAAAAGGGTCACTCCTTTGTACTTTTTTGAGACATCCATTTTTGGCTGACTGACCTGAAAATTTTTCTAAGGGTGCATTTGGCGCCAAACTATACTAATTTTGAGGGGGGAGGACGCGCCAAAAAGCGCAATTTTTTGATCGAAAACTTTTCAAAGTTGCCTACAAACGCCTTCTTCGGCCTTTTTCAAAAATGGTTTCAAAGCGCTCAGAAAACCCAATCGGTCGACCTAAAAAACGGTCATAAATTCTTTCAAAAAATGTTTGAAAGTTTGCCCCCCCCCCTCAAGATCCGCACCTGTATATTGGCCTGTTTTTTACATGTAATTGCCTAATGAGTTATGACCGATGGGTATAACTCATAGAGTAATTTCGGATAGGGTACACCGTCTGCTCGTCACGCTATCTTATTTTCGGCCGGATAGATTCGTGCAACTTCTTAGTCTAATACCGATCCTAATCTTACTCTTATACTATCTAGTCTCAGGTTGTTTAACTAGTCTCTGCTAGACTCAATAGATCTAGGGTATACTGGTTTATTGCGGTTGCTGAAGTCTTCTTGGAGAGTCAACTAATTTCTAAGTTAAATTCAAATCTCTCTGGTGCTGAAATTACAAGTAATTTCAGCACTTACAAATAAGTGGATTGTTAGTCAGATGGATCATGATTGGTTAATATTAAATACTTTACATTGGTAAAATATCTAATTTATCCAATCATAAAATGTAGTTTAGATCAGGTTCCACCCATCCGGGTTTTACAGAGTTTTTTAGAATAGTCTTTCTGCAATTCAAAGGATGGATGATGGACGTTGGTATTTGGCTAACATCTTATTTCTTCTGGGTTTTCTTATTAGAGAAGTCCCAGATTCAATCGTTGTGTCTTCTCAAGACAACGACTGGGTCTTTGCAACAAACTCAAATCTGATTTCAGAATGGTTGGCTATGTCAGGTTTTTCTGTTTCATTGATGAGAACTTCTTTGTGTTTTGATCTTGTCTAGGAATGGCGTGGAGATTGTGCGTGGAGGGGATGCCTGGTTACTCGGATCTGTACGTATACTTGAACATCGAGGTGGTCATTGGTCTAGTTCAATGAAGTCCTTTTCTGCGAAGTCAAGTCGTACTCTAAATCCTTTGAGTTGTGATTGTGAGCGGCATATTGATTGTAGTTGGCCATTCTTTCTCGAGTGTAGTGGGGTCGTTTTGTCTTTGGATGTTCGTCCTTGGTGTTGTATTCTGATCTATGTATTGCATAATGTAATTTACATTTTATAAAACTTTTATTAGTTTAATGTTTTTAATTATGATTTTGGTTAGTTGTTTTCACAAAAGCTTTTTGTTTTAGTTCAGTTATTTTGAAAAGTTACTCACCCTTGAGTAGCTCTTATTAAAAATAGGAGTGTGGTCACAAAGCGTGGATGTAGCGCGGTGGGTTAGGCCGGCTATAGAGCATGCTCAGGACGTCCTTCCTGGTGGGTTAGGCCAGGAGTGGGAGTATGATTTCGTGCTGTTTCTTTGAGAGGTCCTGTTATGTGATAACGTTTTATGCTGGGTTTATGTTGGTCTTTCTTATGTTACTTTGGTCGTGTCCGTTTTTCAAAATCAATTTGTTTTTGGTATGGGTTTGTCTTGCGACTTTTTTGTGTTTTATTTTTTCTTTCTTAGACTTTATAATAGTCTTCAAAAGAATAAATTATCCGGTTTTAAACTGGGTTAATCCGGTTTGGGTACCGTTGGTTTCCTTTTCTTAGTCATGCTGTTATGCTATGTGTTGTGGTGTTTAGTAAGCTGCATTGGTTAGTTTTGTTTAGTATATAATTCCTTTCCAACCGGGTTAAAGGAAAGTTTGAAACTTGTTATCGTGTGTTAGAGTTGTTGAGTTGTGAAAGCTTGAAACTGAAATTCATAGTTTAAACAATTCTTCGTGGGCGAGCTGTGCGAGTTTGGATAGAATTCTTGTGCGAGTGAATGAAAATATCAAAAGGTTAGTACTGCATTTGCTTCTTATTAATTTACTACATAGAATTTTTAATTTTACTGCTAGTTGTTGGGGAAAATTAAGTTACAAATTTTCATTATTTTTAGATTTACTGCTTGTGGGGGAAAAATTTATGAATTAAATTACTGCATTGGTATTATATTTATTTAATTATTTGATGAAAAAAAATTAATAGAGTTTTAAACAGTTTGAAGAAGTTTTCAATTTTTTATTTTCTTTTGTGAATTTTTCAGATGATCGTTGGGTGAAGGCTAAAATTCTAAAGAAAACATGGATAAAGAATGGTGAGTTTCTAATATTTAAATTAGTTAGTAATATGTATAATTCATACTTACCTGTTAGTCGTCGGGGAAGAAACCGTGGGGGAAGATGTCGTGGATGAGATCTGAAGTTGTTAGTAATTTGGCTAAGATGCGGATGATATTTTTAGTTTGAAGCAGTGGCCAAAGCAATTGAAGTGCCTTAATGGTGGTTAGTTCTTCAGTGCCAACTGCAAATTCATAAGGTGTGTTTTGGATTAGATTAGATAATTTGTGGTTGAATTTAGTGTTATGGATGAATTCTAAAATGGGGATTTCTATAGGTTGTACAAACTCGTGTGGGATGAGGAAGGGTCGGGATTCTTCTGCGTTGAAGGTCTTGGTGATGGGACAAAAGATATACATTTGGGTTATGGGATCATAATTTCGAAGAATACCATGAAGGTTAGTATCTTTAATGCAATATGTGAAGTTAAGAAAGAATGGTGAGGTGTATTTGGAATTGATGAATTGAAAACGATGGTGTGGTTGTCTGGAGGGAGTGTGTAGGTCAAAGTGATTTTGGATGAAACGATAATAAGTATATGTGTGTGTTTGTTTAGTGCGCAACATAATATCGTGTGAGCAGTGCAAATCTCTTTCATGTGGTGCAAGGAAATGAAAGGTTAGTGAAAATATTTGGAAGCGTTCTTTAAAACTTTCGTAGGCTTGCGTGTCTGTTAGTGCTTCTGAAATAATGTGGTCAAACTTGCGATCGAAGATATTTAGTGTAAATACATATGGTGTTTTAATGAAAAATTTCTCGGTGATTTGTGGGTTAGCGAAGCGATCGTCGTCTAAGAATTGATCTTGGTTAGTTCTGATGATGTTATGATCGTAATATTCTAGTGTATATTCATTTGCTCGGGGTGCAGTGTGTGTTTTTAGTGATTTTTTATATCCAATGTAAGTAAATTGTCTAGGTGTTAGTGGTGTAGTGAGTCGATATAGCATGTCCTTATTTCGTTCTATATCGATGTGAGTGTTAGATAAAGGTAAGCAAAGGGGATTAGTAAAATAATAATATGAGGTCCAAGGAAGGGTAGGCATTAAAACGTGTTCGTCTACAAAGTTACGTGTCTCGTTAATGTCGTGAGGGGTGTTTAAGGTGTATTGTGGAAATGAGGGTAAGGTGATAGCTAAAAATTCTTTTGTGTTAGTGTGTTTTGGATGGTTGATATATTCACGGGCTGTTCCTGGTTTCGCTGGGAAAGGATGGTTGGGGAACTTTCTTTTAAAAGTGCGGTAAGCTCTATTAGTGCTGAGTGAAGATTCAGTAGATGTGGATGATGGTGCTAATGATTCAGTATATATTGAAGAGGCTGTAGGGGTAGGAGGGTTGGATGAATCTATTGTGGATGAGATTTGGTTTATGGTTGGGATGTCAAGATGATAGGGTTGTTGTTGTAGGGTAATGAAATTATCTAGTTCTGGGGAGATTCGGGGGGTATCTGGAGAATGAGATGATTGGTCTGAGTGAAGTGAGGAGTAGGTTGGAGTGACTTGGGAAGCATAATAGGGTGTAGAGTTGGTTGGGTCAGGGTTATTTGGTAATATGGGTTGAAAAGGGGGC